ATAATTAACATAGAAGACTCAGAAAGGTGATTAAAGACTCAATATCAAAAAGGCCCCAGGACCAGAGGCATGTAGAGCTGAGTTTTACCTAATCTTTTTTTTTTTTATTTCTTAATTCTAAGCTTTAAGAGCCATTGTCCTCGATCTTCTCTAATGGTGAGAATCATGCTTATCACAATAGATAAATCTCATTGATCAGTACAGGGTGTTCCAAAAGTCACCATACATAGGGAAAATGGGAAATCGTAGCTAAATGTACCTTTATTTACGAAATATTCATTACAAAATTTTTCCTTTGTATGGAGACTTTTGGAATACCCTGTAAATAGATGCAAAAATTCCAAGTAAAACACTAGTCCATATATCCAGAAATTTATCACAAAAGTCATTCAGTTTAACTATATTGGGTTTATTCCAAAGATGTAAGGATACTTAAATATTAAGGAATCTATCAACGTAATAAGAGATATCAATAAACTGCTTAGGAAAAAAATATGATTATATCAATAGTTGCTCAAAAAACATTTGGTAAAATTCAGCAGAATTCCTAATAACAAAGGTAAGTAAAATAGTAATAAAAGAAAATTGATTACGATAAATATTCTTTTTTTTTTTTTTTTGAGACAGAGTCTCACTCTGTTGCCCGGAGAAGAGTGCCGTGGCATCAGCCTAGCTCACAGCAACCTCAAACTCCTGGGCTCAAGCAATCCTCCTGCCTCAGCCTCCCGAGTAGCTGGGACTACAGACAGGCGCCACCATGCCCGGCTAATTTTTTCTATTTAGATTTTTGGTTGTCCACATAATTTCTTTCTATTTTTAGTAGAGACAGGGTCTCGCTCTTGCTCAGAGTTGGTCTCGAACCCCTGACCTTGAGCGATCCACCTGCCTCGGCCTCCTAGAGTGCTAGGATTACAGGCGTGAGCCACTGCGCCCGGCCATGATAAATATTCTTTATCAAAAATATTAGCAGAACACTAAAACCATTTCACTTAAAATCAGAAACTAGACAGAGAGGCAAACTATAATCATTGTTACTTAATGTTGACTTAGACTAGTCTTAGATGTTTTAAGGACACAAAAGAAAAAGAAATGACTGACATAAGAAAAAAGGGGTAAAACTATTCTTTTTGCTGATGAAATGATTATATATGTAGAAGATTCTACCAATGGAAAAAGTATTACATTTAGAACAAAAACCATAACAGTTATAAATACATTTAAAAATAAGGCACAAGTTCTGCATGAATAAAACTATAGATTATTATTAAAAACTCAAAATAACATCTAAACAAATGGAAAGGCATATCAAAAACCGTAAGTCATCTCATAATTTGGGCTGAAAAAATATAATGTCATACAAATGACAGTGCTCCCAAAATTGATGTGTAAATTTAATGCAATTCTAATTGGAATTCCAACTGGGGTTCTGGGAATGGAATAATTTGATCTTAAAGTTTATATGGCCAAACAACTGCTATATGATAGCTAAGAAAAGTATGGAGAAGGAGAAAGTGAGATTAGGATTTGCCTTACCAGATAGGATGCCTTACTAGAAAAACATAGATTCAAACCATTGTAATCAAGTCAACAGAATGTTGCTATAGAGATAGAAAGCATAGATTAGTGGATAAAACAGAGGTATCAGAAATAGATTCCAGGCCGGGCGCGGTGGCTCACGCCTGTAATCCCAGCACTCTGGGAGGCCGAGGCGGGCGGATTGTTTGAGCTCAGGAGTTCGAGACCAGCCT